AAATATATATATATATATATATATATATATATATATATATATACATACATATATATACACATACTTCTGGGCCATTAATAAAACTAAAGAAATACACTTCCAAAGAATGATGTTGCCCTCCACTGATTTCCCACTAGGAATGACTATACTGGAAGGACAAACAGCATGAAAGCATAGAAACCACACACAAAAGTAAACCTAAGTAGAAAACAAATACAAACTGGTTTCAGACCTTAGCTGCATCCTCCTGGCAGCAGAGAGAGAGGACTCATGACAATCTACGATTTTATTGCAGCATTTTCATTGCCTCTCTTATCCACTGTGTAGGCCAACTGTTACTTTGCCAATCATTCAAGCATTTCTAGTTACACATCATGATGAATTCCCTCTGTTAGGAATTTTGCAGTTTCAAGGTTGAATAAGATAAGGTATTTAACATTAAAAATAACCAATGTTGCAAACATCTCCTGCAAATACTTTTAATGAAATGAAGATATAATATGTAAAACATAAGTATAAAAAAGATGCAATAAAGGTGCTGACTTTCAAACCTCTAGTTTTATATTTTAGTCTAATGCACACCATTGTTCTTAGAGATTACTGAAGTATACTGCTTTAAAATTTTGGCACCTTTCCTGAGCTGCATTGAAAATCTCAAGTGATGATTTCACTGTCTTAATAAATCTTGATTACACTTTATTTTATAAGTAATACCTGTCTCATAAGACTGAAATCCAAACACATCAAGCTAATATACTTGCTTACCAGGTTTTAATTATAGTATATGCTACATAAAGACATTTATACAACTACTCTATTTTTTTTAAAGGCATTTATTTTGCTCTGTAAAGCAAGCAATTGTGCTTTAAACATCAAGTGATGGTACTTTAAATGTCAGTAGAACCATCAATTAACTATTTTTTGCTGCATTAAGTTTTTATAAAGAGAAAAGTTATAAAAGGTATTATTGTGGATTTATTCTAAAAGTAACTTTGGAGTTATTTACTTGGCCAGTATGAAATCAGAGTCATCTTTTCTATTTTCTGTGTATTTAGGCTATACAATGAGAATTGATTTTCTAAGTGATAGCCCGAGAAGTTGCAGGAGACTCGCTTATCAAAGGAAGATTCAATTATGTTGTTATATTGTACTTATCAAGGAAGAAAGTAAGGGAACATATTTCACAAAAGGCTCCTCAAGAAAAGTTGCAATAACCTTCAGTTACTAGATTAGCACATCTAGATAATTCTGACTGCCCATTTCTTGGTGACCCATGCAACATGGATTTATGGTATAAGAACATTTTACTTTTAGCAGTATCTATATAGTGTATTCCCAATGACCCTCCAGTTGTTACATAATCAGAACAGGTTTTTAATTAAAATTTTGAGGTAAGAGAATTATATACAAGGTAGGGCAAAAGCAGGTTTCTAGTTGTGACTACATAAAACAGAGAATTTATTCTTGTATTATTATTTATTAACTATTGTATTATTTTCCATACAATCAATTGTAAACCTATTTTTGCCTAACTATGTATATACACTGAGTGGCCAGATAATTAAGATCTCTGAGTGCATAATAATCTGGCCACTCAGTGTATATACAGAGTTGGGCAAAAGTAGGTTTACAATTGATTGTATGGAAAATAATACAATAATTAATAAATAATAATACAACAATAAATATAGTATATATATTAGAGGCATGGTGCATGAATTCGTGTCTGGGTGGGGTCCGGCCAGCCTGGCCAGGGGGAAGGGACATGGGTAGTTGGCCAGCCTGCCTACTGGTCGAACTCCTGGTCAAGGGGGAAATTTGAATATTAGCCTTTTATTATATAGGATATACACTGAGTGGCCAGATTATTATACTTTCAGAGATCATTATAATCTGGCCACTCAGTGTAGTTGTTGAATCACCAATAGTGCTGAGTGAAATGAAAGATTCAAATAATATATAAGTAGAATTATTAAACATCCCCAGGAGGCTGTGCTTACCTTTTCAGATTCCAGGCTGTTTTGCAATAGAGGTTAAAATCCTGGATGGGTGGCTGAGCTAGAGAATACAAAGGATCTTTGCCAGTGCTGACATTGTGCGATCTATAGAGTGATGACAGTTAATTGGCCAAACCTTGAGGCACTTGAATTTCTTTGTTGTATTCTCAAAAAGGGTAAATTATATAAAATGCCAACTAAAGTAAAGAATGTCCACCAAGTCCTAACCGATTTGGCTCAGTAGATAGAGCGTCAGCATGCAGTTCAGTCCGCAGGCTGACTTTCTATCCACTGAGCCAAACCGGTTTCAGCGAAATTTATTAACTTAATATTTTGGGGGTTAAAGGGCCATCCATTTCTATAGATAATGAAAAATAGATCTAAATATTCCATCACTCTATAGAGAAATTGCAATTCTGGATTTCCCCCCCTAAAATTTTGTCAAGTCCTCCATCTCATGAAGGGCTGCCCTTCCAGTTAGAGGCCTCCTTCCCCTCAGCCTTTGTCTCTCCACCCTGGCCCTCTCCCACATGGGAATTTCCTACCAACCCTGAAAGCCTGCATCTTGAAGGAAGCCTTCTCTGACCAATAATCCTCCCCACCTTCTTCACCTTTTCTCCAGATATGATTTTCTCCATTGTGTGCCAGCTTCTGTGGTGGATTTTTTCACCTCCCAATTTTTATCTGTGCTTTTGTGCATGTGTCCTCTTTCAGACTGTGAATCCTGTTAACAACAGCCTAATTGATGATGGACTGCTTTACTGTCATTACAACTTAGTTCTAATCACTGGTCTGTTAATAACTACCTGGGGGCTTTATGTGACGAGGTCCATCTCACAGATGAAGATGCTGGAGGAGATGATATTTAAGGTATATAAAAACGCTAACATTCTGTGATTAGTATAGAAGAAAAACAGCCTAAAATTAATATTACTCAGGTGTGCATTCCTAAAACTTAGCATATGCTTCATATACAGTGGGTACTCGGTCAACATTTCCAATATACTGAATAAGAATATGGAAATAGTATGATCATTAGAGCAGTGAGTGAGACATACTTTTCATGAGAAGACAAACACATGACAAACAGGTTCCACAAAAATAAAATTATTTAGGCAGTTGCAAAATCCTCCTCTGAGTCAGAGTGCAGGACTTCTGATGAAACTTGAAATAAGGGGGTTGGGAGACCAGGCAGAGGACATCATCTTTTGGTTCGGAAATAGAAACACCTGGGAAGACTAAGCCCGGGAAGCTTGAGCTCTTTTAAGGCAAACTATTTTGTGACATATAGAGGGAAAAGCCGGCACACAAAGATTTCTACCCATCCACCCTTTGTCCTTCAGGACATTGGTGCCCTTACTCTGCCAGCTTGTTCTCTGGAGTGCCTATGCACTGGGGGCGCCGTGTCCTAGCATCAGGAGCTAGGCTCTATTCCCTTTCTCTTCGTTTTCTTTTTATTCCCCCCTTTTTATATTTTTAAAGGGAGAATCTTGCCCATTGATAATATTTAAGTTCCTTGGATTCATATGTGACTATAAATTGGCTTGAATAATTTTTCCAGCTTCATATAGTCTGGCCTCCAGCATGGCACTCGGATGCATTTTACACAGAACTGATGTCAAAGTGGTCTCCTCAAAGTTTCATCCACTCATCCAGCCCGAGTAATGAATGGCCTATTTCTAACCAGTCTCCCATTCTGGAGACCTTCTCCGTTATCCACACACACTCTCCTTTACCCTCTCCACTCCCAGTGGGCAAACACACCCTATTCCTCCTACTCCAGAAACATGTTTATTCTCACAGTGTTGGCTTTAGTCTTCTTTAGATTTTCATGTTCTAGTAACAGCTCCCTTGTTGGGCCTGTAGTTGTCCCTGCTGTGACATACATGTCCTCCATAAGTTGCAAAAACAAACAAACAAACAAAAATAAACAAACACCTGTTTTTTAAATCAATTAAATAAAAAAATCACAAATACCTGCTTCTAAACTTTTCAATTTCTATTCCCTTTCTCTTTGTTTTCTTTTTATTCCCCCCTTTTTATATTTTTAAAGGGAGAATCTTGCCCATTGATAATATTTAAGTTCCTTGGAATCATATGTGACTATAAATTGTCTTGAATAATTTTTTACAGCTTCATATAGTCTGTCATTCAAAAATCACACACATGCACACACATACACACATACACACACACACACATACACACACACACACACACACACATATATATATATAGCTTCTTAAATATTTTACTTTTCACAGGAAGTAATAGGCCTTATCATGAATTTTTATTTTTGTTCATGCAATTCTTTTTGTCTGGAGTGACTCTCACCATTTTTCACATGGAAAGTTCTTCCTTCAATGGCCTTGAACATCTAGCTCCTCTCTAGAGAGGCATCTCTGTTCCGCTCATTAGTATGCTGCCTGTGTCTTTGTAAAGGCACTTCCCCCACTAGTATGACTCCCCATTTACCATCAACCCCCACCTATAATGCAAGACTCTCAAGGGCAGACCTGGAGCCTGATCTATATCTCTTATGCCAAGCACTGAGCATGAGTCCTGCCATTAGGAAACAAGGACTCACTGTTTGGGGCTTAAATAGAAGTAGGAAGAATACAGTTCTCAGATGAACACAGTGATTATGAACAGGTTGTTCAGGAAAAGTTGAGGTGCCTTGGGTCAAACAGGCTTTGAAGGGCGAGCCTTGGAACCTCACAGACCTGAGTAACCTTGTTTCTATGTGAACAGACGTTCTTAGTTCCAAACAGCACAGGTTCAAGTGAACGCTGGAACACAGCAGGCCACCCCCAGGTTCCAGGGGCCCAGGCAGCTGGCACTGAGACCCTGAGGCTGGCAGGCATTCCCCAGGCTGGTGCGTGGCGGCGGGGCCCCTCTCAGAGGTGACTGAACCGAAGCGCAGGCTGGGCCATCTCGAAGGCCAGCTCTAGCTAGCCCCCGAACCGGTGCCCTCTGCCCACATGGCCCTCCTGGGCACGTGCCATGCTGGTCACAGTGTACTGTGTGCGCAGGGACCTCTCCGAGGCGACCTTCTCCCTGCAGGTCAGCCCTGAGTTCGATCTCCACAACTTCCGCCTCCTCTGCCAGCTGGAGTCCGGCATCCCCGCCGAGGAGACGCAGATCATCTTCATGGAGCGCATCCTCGTCGACGACCACTGCTCGCTGGGCTCCTACGGCCTCAGAGACGGCGACATGGTGGTTCTGCTCCAGAAGGACAACGTGGGGCGGACAGCGAGCCTGCCGCTCGTGGACTTCGCTGCCATGGCCACGCCGGGGACCTCCAGCGCCCGGGGGCAGCAGCAGCAGCATCACCATCATCATCACCATCATCATCATCAGCATCCGCAGAAGCATCCGCAGCATCATCAGCATCAGCAGCAGCCTCCACGGACACAGTCGGCCCGGCAGTCCGGAGGCTTGGCCTCTGGGGAGATACCTTCGGCTCACGGAGTGGAAAGCCCGGCCCTGATCCGGAGCATGCTGCTCTCCAACCCCCACGACCTGTCCCTGCTGCGGGAGCGCAACCCCCCGCTGGCGGAGGCCCTGCTCAGCGGGGACCTGGAGACCTTTGCCCAGGTCCTGACGCAGCAGCGGCGGGAGCGGGACCTGCGGGAGCGGGAGAAGCTGCGCCTCTACTCCGCCGACCCGTTCGACCTGGAGGCCCAGGCCCGGATCGAGGAGGAGATCCGGCAGCGGAACATCGAGGAGAACATGAACATCGCCATGGAGGAGGCCCCCGAGAGCTTCGGGCAGGTGGCCATGCTGTACATCAACTGCAGGGTGAACGGCCACCCCATGAAGGCCTTCGTGGACTCGGGCGCGCAGATGACCATCATGAGCCAGGCCTGCGCCGAGCGCTGCAACATCATCCGGCTGGTGGACCCGCGCTGGGCGGGCATCGCCAAGGGCGTGGGCACGCAGCGGATCCTCGGCCGCGTCCACCTCGCCCAGATCCAGATCGAGGGCGACTTCCTGCCCTGCTCCTTCTCCATCCTGGAGGAGCAGCCCATGGACATGCTGCTGGGGCTGGACATGCTCCGGAGGCACCAGTGCTCCATCGACCTCAAGAGGAACATGCTGGTGATCGGCACCACGGGCACGCAGACCCCCTTCCTCCCCGAGGGAGAGCTACCGGCCTGTGCCAAGCTGGTAAATAGTTCAGGGCAGGACGAGTCTTCAGACAAGGAAGGAACAAATGCTATTAGACATCCGGTCAAGGGACCGGGACCGAAAATGCATTGAGACGACGGTTCCAGAAATCAGCCATCCCACCGGAGGGGATCTCAAGTTCCCGGGAATTATTGTAAGACACACAAGCTCTCTGGCAATGTAACCATTAAAAAAACAAATCCGTAATCGCTAGCCCTGGCCTTGGGATAAGTTCTTAGACCCATAACCATGGGATGTGGGATGCCCTGGAGGTGGGATGGCCCCGTTTCCACACCCCTTATCATAGTTCACTGAACCTCATCCTGGGGAGGCGGTGGGGGCTCTAAGCTGACTTGCGAATAATCGATGAAAGGAAAAGCAGCCCCTTCTTTCAGAGACACGGTCCTCTCCGGGGAAGGGCAGTTTATCCAAACCAGTTGCTATTCTGTAGAATTCGCTGAAAGAAACCGTCACTGCTGCAGACTCGACTAGGCATCTGCACAGTAGTTCAAAGCAGCACTAGCATTATTTATAGTCAGAGAAATATGTCTGTTTTCACAGCTTCTGCTTTCTTTGGGGAAGTTCTTAGAAAACTAGGTCAACTAGACTCCAGTTGATTAATACTGATGAATGCCTGCTTTGAGCAGTGTACGGACCCGTTTCCGCACATACTGCATCTTCCCCTGGGTTCCTCTGGAGCCGTGCTCCCTGCAATTTACTCCTCAAAGCTGTTTCTGCCATATTTGAGACAGCGGATTTTTCTCCCAGAATAGCCTAAAACACTTTTCTCTTTCTCCTGAATTCAAAGAAAACCTGGTTCTAAAACAAAGGCGATCGAAGAGATTTTTAAAAATTATTATTATTATTATTGTTATTATGGTGTTTCTTAGAAGGCTAGTGGTTTCCTTGTGGTGGGGGTGGGAGAGGTAGGGGCAGGCGCTACTCCAGACCTTTAAAACTAATTTTGACTAGAACGTTTAAAAAAAAATCACGAAAATGTTTTCTCTGCTAAAATAACATTTGAAAAGTTCTGATTGCGAAGGTCTCTAAGGCTTCATTCAGCTCTGTGATCCATCTGACAAAGCTACTGTCCAACGATAGTGGGAAAGGGAGGATCCTAGATTTAATCACAGCCCGTGGCTAAAACACGTGAGAGAAACAGCTCAGCTGCCCTAGGCCTCTAGACTCGGGAATGATGTTTTCAGGACAAGACTCCATCAAGACTGGTATGAGAAAGAGAAGTGGATTCAAAATCAATAAAGATGTTATGATTTTAGCTATTATTTAGGCAAGTCAGGTCACATGTTATATAACTCAAATTTCTGATCTATAAACTGTTTCAGAGGGGAGAGTCATTTTCAAGCACAAAGATCCTATATAATAAAAGACTAATATGCAAATCAATGCTTAGGGCAGAATGACCTTCACTGTGACGCACACTGACCACTAGGGGGCAGACGCTCAATGCAGGAGCTGCCCCTGGTGGTCAGTGTGCTCCCACAGGGGGAGTGCCGCTCAGCCAGAATTTTACAGAGGAAATTCAAGGCTCAGAATTATTTTGAAATATTGAAATATCCACTAGCATAGTGTTTTTATTTTTATTTTTTCCAACAGCAATCCACATTTTAGATTGTGACCCAGTTCCACATCACACACACACATACATACAAATGCACATACGCATCAGACTATTTCTGAAACAAAAATAAAATGAAATAATATGATTTTTTTTTAAATCCTTTCCTGGGGTATTTCTTTGAATACTTTATTACCTGTCTAAAATATGTTAGACATGTCCCACTTGTATCCCACCAAAGAATCCTGAAAAAACTAATTCACCTACCAGCTTGCTCAATTGAAGTCTTTCTGATTTCAAATGTCAAGTTCTTTTTCAGTTTGTGACCTTCTTCAGCAGACACATTTGAATTCCAGAAATTGATGCAAAATTGTTACAAAGTTTTATTTTATGGAAACTACCAAGACACTACCAATAAAAATGACAATGAATAGCAGTAATCAGAATACACTCAACAATTACTTATTGAACATCCATAAGCATTGAGCCAGGTTTTTATAAACATAGAAATGAGTAAGTTCCAATTCTACTCCTCAAGGTAGGAGTAGGAGAACATCTTGTAATCAATTAAGAACAAAAAGAGTGAACATGAAATTAATAAAAATTAGTAATATGAGCAAATGAAGGTGTAACTTTTAATTTGGAGGTTATTTTTAAAAATAAGAAATAAGCCAATAAAATGCACTTTCAACATGCCTAAAATGCCCATTACTGAAATGCTGGAAAAAAAACAAAGAAACATACTCTCCTCTTACATTTCAGGTCACTGAAATACAATCTCTTAAGTATCCACTTTTGGAAATTAACTTCCTGGAAAATGATGACCAAGTCTTCATTTCCTTTCTTCCCATTAGAAATCATGATAAAGTAAATTCACATGATAAAATAGGCCTAACCTGTTTAAAATAATTAGCCATTTAAAAAAATCCATTCAACACTTGATTTCACCTAATGTCCACCTTACCTGTTGTTGATAGCATGAATTTCAAAACTACAGTAATACCTTCCTCTGCAGTTAAAGGAGACTGATATTGTTTGATTACGGTAGTAGAGCAACTGATGTTAACATCTTTCTTAAAATATGAGTCATACAATTGATCTTGTTTCTGTGGAATAAATCCACATTCCTCAAAAGAAAAAGACAAATGACCCTTTGAAGGAGAACACTGCACTTCTTGCAGAGGGCCATTCACTGACAGCCAACATCCCCAGAGAATACTTGAGTGAACGGCTAGGGAGTGCTCTGGGATCCACACCAGGGAACTGCTGGTGAGGACATTAACCGATGCTAATATTCTTTGAGGAAAACCAAAGAAGAACAATGGTAGAGAGATGTAGAGAAGGAAGGTTTAGGGGGCAGGGAGAGTGGGGGGGGGGGGAGGGGAGTAGGAGAAAGAAAAAGAAGCCTAGAAATCTGGATTGTTTTTAACTAATCATCTCTTGGTTTAGGTGCTGTTTTATAAAGTGGATGGGGACTGGGCTGCGATTGAGGATTAACCACCATTCCACAATACTTTATTCATTATGGCAAGTTATCAAAAAACAAAAATATTTTCACATTAGAGCCTGAGTCAAACTTGTTTTTGAACCTTCGTTTTTCTGGGTTCTCCTGTTAGAATGTGAGAATTTCTAAGGGTCACTTATTAGAAATTAGAGGTTTGCAGTCCCACTGTGAATGCTGTGTGGAGATGGGCACATCTTGGGGCAGCTTTGTGTCCTATTACTACATTATAAATGTTCTGATGACATGTCTGTCTCTCTATCTTTGAGAAAGACTTTTATGAATCCAGGATTTTCATATTTTCTAAGCAGGAAGGCTTATTTTAAGAACATAATTTAAAAGATAATTTTTCTCCTATGTTAAAGTTTAGAGGAGGCAACATGGGCCTAAGCCAGATGATGATGAAGTGTATATTTTCCTTCTGTGAATTTAAATATTCATGTTGTTGCCAAATAAAATAGGTGATTAACATTATAAGAAGATTCCATCATCTCTACCAAATCCTTACATTAATCACCAATCTACAAATCTTACCCTACCAGCACTTTACTACAAGGACCCCTTGGGATGAAAAGAAAATTAATTTAAAATTATATTAATTAATATATCCTCCTTTCAAATTCATATTATATCTGGGGATTCAGTTCCTTTATCTGTTAAAAACAAGCAAACACACCCAAACCTGTGTTTTGAATTCGTCCATCTCAGTAAAATTCAATATATTTTTCCAAGAACCTTGTAGTTGCACTATGCCATCCAGAGAGATAAGGAAATGTAAGTTATAGTCTTTGCCTTTAAAAAATGTAAAAGTCAAGTTAGAAAATAAATAAATAAATAAATAATTCAGAAATAATAGAATATAAGTTCAGGGTTTGAATGAAATGCTTCCCATTTGAGATGCTAGCTGTGGTACTACACTGCAGGATATATGGATAACATTTCATTGAGCACCTACAGTATGTCAGGCACTGTTCCAGGTGCTGAATTTCCTCAATGCTGAAACCTTTTTTTTTTTTTTGGTGCTCAACTGGCACTTTGGGCTACAAACCTACAGGAGACTCTCTCACCTTCTCAAAGGTGAGTCATTCAAGTTAACTTTGAGATAACTCAGCTAACCAAATAAGAATTAGCATATGGCATATTCTCAAGCTAAATTCCAAGGTAAAGTTTATGGTCTGTTTCTGCCTTGACTCACTGCGCTCACGTTGTTTCTATTATGGGCTTAATCTTGGAGCATGAATCAGCAGTTGTAGAAAAATACTTCCCCCATAAAGTTAATGGGAAGAATTTGAGGCCTGTACTCTGGATAAACAACCAGCAAAACAGGAAGAATAAGTTAACTACAGGTGATGAATCAATTTGATGGAACCTTTGCATATATTTGAACTGCAAGCAATAAAAGAACAGGGGTTCTCTTGAATAATGAAACACCAACCAGACAGCAATTCTGAAAATGTTTGGGCATTTGGAAAACCTAGAATGAGGCCCCAAATTACCAACAAAAATGTAATAAGTGATGAGATTTTCTGGAGAGATCATAATCTTGTTCATAATATCTTTCTTTCTTACTATTTTATTGAAGGCCAACAGTACCTATTTAATAAATAAGATTATGTGAATGAATAATGGACAAAGTTCCACATTAATAAATTGATACAATGAAAGTGGGACTTTTTACTTAATTTTAAAATAAAAATATGTGAGTTAAGATTACCTTTGTATAATTAGGATAAATGTGTTTTGGATTAATAACATGACTGACATTTATATGTATAGATTTGAATGTAAGTGATCCAAGAAATAAACTCTTAATGTACTTTTAACTTGCCCACTCTCCCACTGTTTGGGCTATTTATTTTTATTATTTATTTATTTAAAATATATTTTATTGATTTTTTTATAGAGAGGAAGGGAGAGGGATAGAGTTAGAAACATCTATGAGAGAGAAACATTATCAGCTGCCTCCTGCATACACCCTATTGGGGATGTGCCCCCAACCAAGGTATATACTCTGGACTGGAATCGAACCTGGGACCCTTCAGTCCACAGGCACATGCTCTATCCATTGAGCCAAACTGC